ACGAGTCACCGAACGGCCTCACGCGCGAGTTCCACCTGACAGCAGGCGGCGCCCTGAACAAGGTAAACAGCAGAAGCCAGTAGCGGCAGCAGCAGCCGGGGCTCTGAACGTCCCTCGGCAGGCTCTCCATCCATTGTTTGTTGGCACCACAGCAACTCAATCCCCCGTTGCGGCCCTGTAGGTTACCGGCTGGTGGATCCCATTCCTGCACACAGTGTGTGCGGCGGCAGCGTTCCTGAGCGCGCTGGTCATCGGTTGGAAGCTGCACTACTACAAGATTGTGCAGAACGAGCACTACGGATACCCGGACGAATGGTTCCCATCGGTGTCGGCGACAATTGGCGACCGGTACCCTGGCCGCAACATGTTCCAGATCCTGATTGCCCTGACGTGTCCACCGCGCCTGTTCCTGCACCTGTTCTGGTATATTCTGACGGTGCGGGCAGCACCGAAGCGTGCCAAGGCTCTGTTCTGGGTTGGCTTCGTGCGGACGTGCACCTGTGGTGGTTGGGTGTATGTGACCTCTGGCGACGACCACGATATCCACGATGTCATGATGATCTCGTACATGATCCTTACTATTCCGTATATGGCGCTGCTGATTCAGCTGTGCGACAAGTCGCCGTTCACGCACAATGTCAAGGCGCTGGTGGCCAACAAGTCGCGCCGCAAGTGGGTGGCATTCGCGTTCTTTGGCTCGATCCCGCCAATGATCTACTTCTTCATCAATCACAAGGTCCACAAGATCGCCGGTGCCTACACGACGTACGCCTTCTTCGAGTGGGCACTGATCATCTTTGACGTGATGTTCGATTCGCTTGCCATGGAGGAGTTCAAGGCTCTCGATCTCGGCATTCTGCCCGGAAAGCCCGACGAGCGGTAAAACCTTCGTTAGTTTGCTAGTCAATTGGAACAAAGGTGCGACAGTACTACATAGCACCGCCCCATCAAATGTAGCCCTTCATGTGCCGACTAGTGGCAATGATGATGGTGGTGCATGTTCGATTTTTGGGATGTATTTGAGGTATATAGACGAGAAAGCAGAGCTAGGGTTTAGTCCTTCTTGTGCTTCTTATCCTTCTTTTCTTTCTTGTCCTTCTTTTCTTTCTTTTCTTTCTTGTCCTTCTTTTCCTTCTTCTCCTTCTTCTCCTTCTTGGACTTCTTGTGCTCCTTCTTCTCCTCCTCGGCATCCGACTCAGCGTCCGACTCCTCCGACTTGCGCTTCTTCTTGTCCTTGGTCTCGTCGGTCGAGGTCATGACAGCATCGACAGCTGTGTTGTACGAGGCAGCCTCCTTGCGCTCAAACTTCTTCTGCTGCCTGCCGTTGTCAGCACCCGATGCGCGGTCGGCACGGGCAGCCTTGGCGGCGAAGCGACCCTCGAGCTGGCGCAGGCGGTTCTCGACCTTGACGCGGCTGTCAATTCCAACCTCAGCGGTGTCGGTCTCGCCGAGAGCGTCGACACGCACGGAGATCGAGGCCTTGGTGGCTGTGATACGGGCGATCTTGCCCTTGACCTTGGGGCCAGCCTGGCCGACAAGCGACGCGTGGTAGATGAGACCGTACTTGGGAGTATCGTGCTTGGTCTTGAGGGCACGGAACAGCGCCTTCTCGGCACCAAGGATCTGGATGGTCGAGGCCGGGTACTTGGCCAGAGTCATGAGCGAGCCAGCGTGGGCAATGAGGCGGGCGCCAACGAGCTCGCCAACAAGGGCAGTGAGGTTGGGCGCAATGGCGAACATGCGGTTCTTCAGGTACTCGTACAGCTGCGTCCGGTACTCGGTGATCGAGATGACCTGGTCGCAGAGAGCGGTGATGTTGAGCAGATCCTCGTCGCTGATCTCCGTACCCATCGAGATCTCGGCAGCCTCCTTGATCTCAGCCTCAATCTCCTCGGGCAGGATCTCGGCAAGGTCGGTCTCGCCGATGTTGGAGCGGAAGCCAGCGGTCTTGATGACCTTGGCGTAGGCGAGGTTGTCGGTGACGATCTTGCCCATCTCGGGGAAGTGCCAGCCATACCATTCCTTGACGCGCATCGCGTATGTGTTGAGCTCCTTGTCCAGGTCGTCCAGCAGCGAGATGGCCTGCACAATCATGGTATCAACCTTGTCCGGCGAGAACTTGAGCTTATAGCGCGACAGCGAGTGCGACAGACCCAGCTCCATGGCGGCCATGTCTGCGGCTGAGACGCTGGTCAGCAGCGACTCGATCTGGTTGCGAATGCCACGGTACAGCTCGTTGACCGACGAGTCAGCAACGACATTGATGCCAAGCTTCTTCGAGATAGCGCTACCCAGCTTCGAGTCGGCGACAGCCAGCTTCTCCTTCTTCCACTCCTTCTCGCTCACATCGGTCGTGAGGAAGCCCTTCAGGTTCTTCGAGATCTTGCCCTCGACCAGGGCAGTGACGGCCGACAGGGCATCCACAGTGTTCTCAAACTTGTGGAAGGCATGCAGCTTCACCGACTTGTTTGCCGACTCGGGCGTGGCAAAGTCCTTGTACAGATCGTCAGCCTTCGCGAGCTTGCTGTCGTCCAGCAGCTTGAACAGCGCGTAACCAGCAGCGGTTTCGTAGAGAACGAGCATTTTCTTTTTCCCTTTTCAAGTCTTTAAAGTCGTGTAAATACAAAAAGGAGAGGGGGAGAAAGCGAGAGGAAGAAATAAAATAGCTAACAACAGGGCTGTACTTGGAGAGGAAGGGCGAGAAAAGTCGCCGTCCAGCAATAAAAATTTTCAAAACGATCCCAGACGCATTGCACCAGACAGTGTTTTTTTTTCTGATCCGGTGAGTTAACCGCTTGATGGTGATTTAGCATGATTTATTTCTGAACCCGATCCTTGGACGCCTTCGATTTGGGCTGTGGCCTCGCCTTGGCCGGTGCCTCCTTCTTTTCGAGGATCGGCTTGGTCTGGACGTAGGTTAGCGAGTTGCTGGCAAACAGGCTGGGCTTGATGAGGAGCGGCTGGTCGGGACGACCCATCAGATAGACCTTGTTCATGTATTCCCCAATTCCCTCGCCAAGGCGGATCTGGTGCGAGGCGAAGATGTAGCCCGTCATGTATGCGTCGTAGGCGGCTGTGTGGTACATGTTCTCGTTGTCACTGCTGCTGGGCTTGCTGACGGCCTCTTCCGAGTGCTTGCGCGCCTTGTGCGCCCTTTTGCTGTCCGAATCTGAGGAATCAGCGCTGCCTTCGTCACCAGCACCGCGCTTGCGCTTCTTGCTGTCATCGCCATTGGCGCTGCTCTCCGGCCCTTCGCCTCCCGACTCCTTCGCCTTCTTCTTCGCCTCTTCGCGCTCCTGGCAGTCCAGGATGAAGTTGATGTCATGCGACTTGGGGCACTTGTTTCTGAACCGGCAGTGGCCGTGCAGTGCAAAGTTCAGGCAGTACTCTATGTCCTTCTCGGCTTCCGGCAGAGCCGGATAAGTGGGCTCGGCCGGCTCCTGGTACTTTAGCGGGCTCTTGAGCTTGGCCTGAACCGCAGGCTCGTCGGCCTCCAAGCGCCGCTTCTGGATCCGCTCGTTTTTGTGGAATGTGTATGCGAGGAATGAGGCGCTTCCGGGTTCCACCATCTCCGAGATGTACTTTGTGTCAAAGATGCCTCCGGGGAACATCTCGGACAGATCGTAGGCAAATGCATTGTACGAGTCGGGCAGCGGTCCAACAAATGCCTGGTAGACATACACCAGATCGAACAGCCCGTTGTGAATGACCAGCGGCACTTTGGAGCGAATAATGTCCAAAAAGATCTCGCGCATAGCCAGGCCTTCTCTGTTGGCCAGCTCGTTCCTGGTCACAGGCGGCATCGGGTTGGGACCAGCATAGAACCGGATCCCCTCAGATGCCTGCCTGTTGAGATCAAACCCGTTCTGGGCCAGGAAGGCAACGCTGTTGGCACTGATCAGGTGCGAGTTCTGCTGCTGGACAGTGAAGTTGTAGTTGTTGACGTTGAAGCTCCCAGGCTTGCTGTGGCGCTTGGAGAACACGCTCATGCCGAGCGAGACCAGCGCATGCGACTTGGCAACATTGGACATGGCCTTGTACTTGTCTTCCATCTGCGTAGCGCGCGTCACCCACTCTTGGGTGTTGAAGCCAAAGACCGGCGAGGCATTGCTAATAGACAGCCCAGTGAACTCTGTATCGATCGCAATGAACTTGGCGTCAGCTATCTGCTCCCGGATCGTGTCAGCGACCAGAAGGAGGTTCCTGCGAGTAATGTCGTTGTACGCTGCGGTTGCTGTGCCCATTTTGAATGTGTAATGACCTTTGAGCGAGAGGAGCGGCGTGACAAGACAAGGAAAGCAGGAGTCACAATTTTTGGAAAAACCAGCGTTTTGCAGGGTATTCCTAGATCCAGATTACACAATGAAATCAGACAGCGAAGGTTGAAAATATGCTCTATAAACCAGTGCGACCTGGAACGCGCAGCATCGGCACACTATGTGTGGTGTTGCGCCAACATGGCAGCTAGTTGGAATATGAACTAGCGACACCATGCTTCTAGTAGTAGCTTGTTGAATCCATGGACAGGGTACAAAAATAGCAACGTCTCGGCGACCTGAATATATTAGCCATCTGGAGGCACTGCTTACGAAGCCGATCTACTCTCGTCAACGGGCTTTATCCAGGACCTGCGTGGTATAGGGTCCCAAATAGTGCTATCAGTGAAGAGGGTGGTAGCAGCCAAGAGTACTGGCAGGGACCCAAGAGGCAATGGTGCAAGCGTTTTTCTATGGAAGTACAGGTGAGTAAATTCTAGGGCATTTGTGCACCTGGTTTTCTCAGGAGTGTCTCCTTTTTTTGTCAATTAGGGTTGTGTACGGCCACCTCGCCACATACAGGGGAGGCACTGCTGTCCAGCAGCAGCGCGATCATCTTTGTTAGATAGCACATCTATTCAGTACGGAGAGACTCCCAACTACTCATTCACAAAGCCTCGGAGAAAACCATGCCATAAAAGTTGCAATAGAAAGAGGTTGCTGCGGCCATTCCAGATTTCAAAAATGGTGACGTTGCCGATTTTTGACAACCCTATTTCCAACACCAATGAGGTTACAGAGAACCCGAGTGTGAGACACTCTGACCTGGGATACATGTCGTGCATATCCCCCAGGAGGAGCTGCGCGCAGGGATACAATCTGCTCGTGCAAACTTGACATCTAACGTTCGCATCGTCTCTCCCCATCTCTATTTTTTCCTATATTCTTTTGAAGATGCCTTCACTTAAGGAACACTTGCCCCTTGCTGTTCACCTCTATGCGCTAGGAACTCTGGGGGTTTTGTGGGCCCGGGATGCCCCTCATCGCAAGCACCACCTCGATTCGCCTCTAGCCCTGTGCGTCCATGCGTTGCTCGTTGTTGTGGCAGTACAGGCTATTCCTGGCTGGTTTGGGGCCGTTCATCAGGTGTCTGTTGCAATGCTGCCAGCGCTAGCACGCTACATTGATGGCCAGCTCGGGTTCAGGCTCGTCAACCTCGTTGGACTTCAAGCCCTCTTTCAAGCCAGTGGAACTCCTTTTTCCCTGCAAACAACCGGATTCCTGCTGCACCTGTGTCTGCTTGCTGCTGACCTCGATGCACAAGGCTGGCACGATCTGCATAGTGTGGTTCGCAGTGCGCTTTACACCAAGGAGATTGCTTTGAGTCGGCTTGGGCACATTCGTGAGCTTACTATCGACGACTTTTGGGCCCTGCCTGAGCGGCTCCGCCTACAGACAGCACACCAAGAGTTCAAATACGACCAGAACGAGACACTCTTCATCCTCCGAGCTATCGTTCGGATGATGTGGCGTCCATACCTCCCACTCCTCGCTGTGCAGTCGCTATCCCGTATTTCTCATGTCATGCAGTCAGTCATGTTCGCAAAGGTACTCCAGTGTGCTGAAAATCCGTCAGGCCACGCATGGTACCAGACATATCTGTATATATTTGCCAGTCTGGTGCTACAGCTGATCAACTCGCAGTCTGGCCGCATCAGCAAGCTGCTGTCAGAAGAAGAACAGCGAGTGTCAAGGGCGATGGAATTAGAGCTTGTCCGACTGCCGCTTCTATCGGCTGGCAATCAAGTGCCAAGAGGCGGGCGCATGAACTATTTGGTGAATAGGATCTTCCGATGTCTCCGCAGCAGTCTCTCCAAGGTATCCTCTCTAGCGACGGCTGCATTTACTCTCTGGCTGACCTACCGGACAATCGGCTGCATTTCATTCATCCCCATTGCTGTTATCATTGCCCTGTCTTCGGTGACCTGGGCAATTGGGCAGCTCCAGCAGTGGTGTGGTCGCCCATACCATGAGGAGTGGGCTGAAAAGTTGGACTCTACCGAGATCTATAGGAACATCAAGATCATCAAATTCAACAGCTGGGAACAGAGGTATCTTGACCCCGCTCTCGCTACCAACAGAGACACAGATTGGTTAGGCAGCGATGCAATCCCTAAGAGGTATCGTCGTGCGGTATTTTTGGTTCTGGGAGTGATTGCCAACATTAACGGCATTTTGCAAGGGATTTCGAGCCAACTGGCAGTTTTCTTCACTGTGCAGCTGCATATTCAGAGCGGCAGGACGCTGTCCAGTGTTGAGTTGCTGCAGATCGCCGACCAGATTTCACAGACCAAGGCTAATGCTGCAAGCGTTATATCCGGGTTCAGATCATTGTCTGAGGCGATTACTACAAACATCCGGATGGAAGGGTACCTAAGGATCGGGCCCACAGACGGTGTTCTGGTACATCCAGCGACTTCAACGGTAGGCCCGTCAATCGAGATGAAGGATTGCACATTCACGTATCAGTCACTTGAGTCTACAATGAAGGAGAAGAACGTGCTGGAGCGCGTATCACTCAAAATCGGCAGCGGTGAGCTTTTGTCAGTCAAGGGCAGTGTCGCATCTGGCAAGACATCCCTGCTGCATGCGATGTGCGGAGAAGTGAGGATGCGATCCGGAACTGCATCGGTTTGTGGCAGGATCGGGTATCTGGAGCAGTCACCGTACATCATGAACAGCACGCTGCGTGACAACGTTCTGTTTGGCCATGACTTTGATGAAGCGTTTTACTGGCGTGTCATGAAGGCCTGCGCGTTAATGGAGGACATCGAGCAGTGGCCGGATCGCGACATGACGCTAATTGGCGAGCGCGGCATCAATATTTCGGGTGGACAGAAGGCTCGGCTGGCGCTTGCTCGTGCAGTGTATACTCGGGCTGATATATACATCCTGGACGATCCGCTCTCTGCGGTTGATGCACAGGTCAAGCGCCATCTGCTAGACCATGTCTTGCTAAACACTGGGTTGCTCGGCAACAAGTTACGTGTGGTGTCGATGAACTCTAACCACTTGGATGCGTTTGCCAACAAGAACATCACTGTCGATAAGGGTCAGGTCATCATAGAGATCCAGGAGCACCCGAGAGTGCACATAATTGCAGAGCAGTCGGAGCCAGATCAGAAACCTGAGTCTGAGGATGACACTATGTCTGTGAACTCAGCGACCACGCTGACCAGCAATGGCAGTGCGCCTTTGGTGACAGACAGTGCCCAAAACACGCAGCCTGCCAAAACTGAGGAAGTGAAGAAGGATATCAGCTGGGGGAACTTGAAGTATGTCGTGGATATCCTTGGGCTGCCTGTCCTTGGGCTGCTTCTCTTTTCGGCTGTGTTTCACCCGATTGTCGACCATATCGCGGAAGGGTACAAGCTCGATGCGTTGAATGAGAACAGCAAGTCTGTTGACTCAAAGGCTATCAACAAATATCTCTGGGTGCAGGTGATTTCGGTCTCTATTACGCATGCTGTCCATGCATTGGAATGGAGGCTTAGAGATGGACTGGTCAGCAGCTATGTGTCAGACCGTATCATCCCGCGTGTTTTCCCACAGTCTGATTTATGCACCGATGTCGCTATTCGACAGCACCAGCGTTCACGAAATCAACTCTGTGCTTCAGACATGCAAATATGATATTATGCGGATTATTCCTTCATTGGCCCAGTCAAGCATTTCAACACTCCTGAGGGTCGCGCTGTCAATCTACCGGATCAGCTACAAGGCACCTCTGCTTCTGCTTATTGCTCCTGCGATGGGCTTCGTGATGAGCTATACTGCCAAGCTGGTTGACCCTGCAAACAGGTCATTGAGCAGTGTCAGGAAAACCTTTAGGATCGGACAATCATGGGTCAAGGGCATCCTTATCGATAGTACCAGGACGATTCGCATACATGGTGTTGAAGAGCACTTCACAGGGCTTTATGCAGACAATGTTGACGAGGGTGTCCGTCTCGGTCGGCCAAGCAGTTCTTTAGGCTCATTGTCGGGTACGATCGATAGTATCGTTGACATCGTTACAAGTGCTGCTGTCACATCCGTAATGGTTGCTCAGTCACAGTTCACTGACTACAAGCTATCGTCGGGCGAGCTCGAGGCGTTTCAGTCGCTAGTCAGCAGAATGACATCAAATATGTCAAGTTTGGTATCTCTTCGCAAACGTCTGATCTTCTTGCTCGACAGCGTAGATAAGGTGCGCACATTCGTCAGCATACAGTCCGACAAGGCATGGAGTATGGATGGTGTGCAGCCGCCAGCAAACTGGCCCACGCGCGGCGAGATCGAGTTCCGCAACTACAGCATGCGCTACATCCCGGATCAGGCCCTGGTACTAAAGAGCGTCTCGTTCACGATCAAGAGCGGCGAGCGCATTGGCATTGTGGGCCGCACTGGTGCAGGCAAATCGTCGCTGACACGTGCATTGTTCCGGCTAGTTGAAGGCGAAGGCGGGTCGATTCTGATTGACGGCGTCGACATCGCAACTCTGCGTGCTGACAGTCTGCGTCCGAATATTACAATTATCCCGCAGGATTCGACCCTCTTCTATGGTTCTGTCAGAGCAAACCTTGACCCGCTGAAGCAGTTTTCGATTGAGGACATGTGGGCAGCGCTTATCAAGGCAGATATGGTCGGCGTGATCAACTCGGAGAATATGCACGACAAGGCAAGAAAAATCGACGATGGCAGCGACTGGTACATTGGGGAGTCGAAGTGGCAGAGAGAGAAGCGACGCAAGTCTGGCTGGCTGATGCGCATGTTCTTGTGGCTCTGCCTTGAGAAGAGGTCTCTTGTCAAAAGTGAGCCAACTCTGGGTAACTGGGGTCTATCTAGCTGGGTTGGCGGTAGCACACTGACCTCAGGACAGCGGCAGCTTTTCAGTCTGGCCCGTGCGCTGATGCGCAAACGCAAGATCCTGGTTCTTGACGAGGCGACGGCAGACGTTGACCTCAAGACAGACAAAACTATCCACGACGTCATCCACAAGGAGTTTGCCGGCTGTACGATCCTGACCATCGCGCATCGCCTTGAAACCGTCATGAGCAGCGATCGCATCATCGTCATGGATCATGGTAGTATCGCCGAGTTCGACACGCCTGCAAATCTTCTGGCCAAGGGCGGGTTGTTTGCTGAGCTGTTCAAGTCCAATGATTTTGCCAACACCTAACGTATATATACCAGCATATAACTGCCGTTTTGCACTATCCCCAGCAGCAGCAATATTGGTGAGCATTTTGGATCATGATCCGCCGGGAAACCACAACCTTATAAGATCACTCTCAGGAATCCAGACGTGAGTGGGGTGTTGGCTGCGTTGGATCTACGCAAACTCATCCGGCCCACTTGATCCCGTCCTTTTTTCTCCTTACATCCAATGTTTCGTCCAGCAGCCCACCATATCGCAGCGTCCGGGCGCAACACCCATAGACTATCGGCCTGTCGATTCACATCCGACGCCACCGCCAGCCGTGTGATTTTTGAAGCAATCCCCGCGCGCGCGATTCGCATGCTCAAGGCCATGTCGCTTGGCGGCTCTCTCCTCGCCTGCTCCGTAACCGGCGGCGTTATGTACGCGCAGTCCCAGGGCCAGCTGCAGGACGACGATCTCAGCACATCCACATTGGTGATGGCCACATCGGTCAGTCTGCTGTCGACGTTTGCCGTGAGCAGGCTGTTCTCTCCGTTTGTGATTCGGGTGACACTGTTGCCGGCCAAGCGCGTACAGGGGATCCAGCTTGATAAGCACGGGCTGCCAAAGTTCGACAGCATCATATCGACGGGCCAGAAGCACGCAGCGAAGGCAGGCAGCGACAGCAAGGTCCAGGCGTTGCTAGCAAGAGGAGTGACAAGCGACTCGGAGCTGGTGTTTGAGACACCTGGGTTCTTTGGGCTCAATACAAAGACCACCAGGCTGCGAATCAGGGATTTGAGGCCGTCGTCGACCAAGATCCGCACATGGGATATTAAGGAATCCGCGTGGGAGCGGATGAAGCAGGAGAAGGCTGTGCCAATGCCACTGAAAAAGTACACAATCATGTGGAAGTCGTCCAAGAACACGCCGAACCGGCGGATAATGCAGGACATTGATAGCCTCATTGGATCGCAGTAGTGTGGAGCAAGTTTGTGGGCATTTCGAAATAGACATGGGAAACCTAGTTGAACTCGATGTAAATCTCGCCGCTGATGGCGTGGTACGCAGCACAGACTCACCCGCCTGGGTGCTGTCGGCAGGTCCAAAGGTGCCGGACTTGTAGTTGCCGTAGTCCTTGACAAAGTGCAGGCGGTTGGTGCCATCGCTGGCATCCTCGACAGAAACGCGGCCGCCAACAATGTTGCGGGCCAGGAAGGACCCGTCGAATCCGCCCGAGACACGGGTGTTGATGGTGCCACTGACAGTCTCAATGACGATGGTGGACTTGGGGCCTTGGCAACATTGACACCAACGTCGACGACAGCCTTGACGGTGTGGATGTTGATGCTGTTACGCACAAAGTAGTGGCCGTTCACATCGCTTGTCACCGTGTTGATCGTCCAGGTCCTCGCCGTGGATCGATGGGATCTGGAGCTTGCCGGTAACAGAGTTGACCTCGAACTTGCCAAAGTCAATAGCGCGCGCCAGCTTGCTGTCGAGGTCGAACTGGCCGTAGACGAAAGCCGGTATGCAGGAGGTCGAGGCTGGTCAGGGTCGATGGCAGGAGAGCACGATATCGGCGTACGCACACTCGCCCTGGCGCAGGATCTTGGGGCCCTCGAGGACAAACGAAATGTTGCCCTCCTCGTCGGTGGTCTGCTTGAGGGAGATCTGCTCAGCAATCTTGGGGTCGGACGCCAGAGCGCGCACTGAGAACGTGGCCTCGGAGGCAGAAGTGCTCACGATGCGGACAGACGAACCGATGCTGCCCGCGGACAACCTGGGAGATCTTGGTGAAACTTGGTAGGGTCGAAGGTGAAGGTTTCAAGGCCCTCAACAGGCACAATAGGCACGCAGATATCGTTGTGGTTGACGCGGAACAGGGAATCGACTGTCAGTAGCCGCAAGCTCGCCACGCGATAGAGCGGCCAGAGCAGTGTGGTTGATGCGGCTGTTGGCCATCATCTGGAAGGCGGGACGCACGCTCTTGTTAATCTGCTCAAGAATGTGCGCAACAGTCTCCTCGATCTGCTTGGTAGGCTGCTTCCACGGCCTGGTAATACGCTGGTAGGGGAAACCGGGCTCATCTCCAGGCTTGTGATGGGGTGGTGATGGTGGTGCTGTTCATGCAGTGGTGGGCGGAGGCATGAGGGTGGTGAGGGTGCCGTCGTATACCTGTCCATTCGAGTAGTACACATCGGACCCAGCCCCCGCCCTCCGTCTTTCCCCACTGCTCGCCGCCATGGCACGGGTGTTTTGCCATCCATCTATCGACCCGCTCGTTGCCAAACACCGAGCGCATCAGCTGCCGTTGTTGTGGTGCACAGCATGGAACAGGACCAGGCGCAAGGTGAAGAAAGCGACCAGGAAGATGGCAAGGCGCTTCAGGACCTTCTTTCCCACGCACGGCTGGCGGCGAACCGGGCTGCTCGCTGAGAAGACCCGTCTCGATGTCCTCGGGGACGCTGCCATCCGAGTTTACGATGATTTTCATACGCTGCTTTTCGTCAGACATGGTGAGAAATAAAATAGGTAATGTTTGGAAGAAAATAGGTGTAGAGCGGAAGAAAGGTGCTTAAATGCCAGTGGCGCTTGTTTGCCAAGACTTTTCTGGTGCCCATCAGAGCAAGAGGACTGTAGGCTGCTGGCTCGGCGCCCACAGGCTGCTGGGCACCCACTGCATGTCCACTGCATCCCCTCCTCCACTGCGGCCTCGTGACTTTGTTCTTTCCCACCTGCACGGCCACCGGCCTACTGCAGATGGTGCCACGGTGCATACGTAAGCTTGAGCAATGACAATGTTAGAAAAGAATGAATGTGATGTTTTTAAGCCTCAAGTCCGATACTCTTGAGGAAGGCCTTGTTGGTTTGGCTTGCGGCCCAGGAACTTCTCGAGGCTGACCGACCGTCGCGGCTGCCGCCAGGCAGCAAGGATCTCGCGGCGGTAGTCCATGCCGGTGCTGGCGTTGGCAACGCCCTCCTTCTGGAAGCGCGAGGCAAACATGTCGGCCGCTGAAGACCTCGGACCACAGGTATCCGTAGTAGCCCGAGTCGTAGCCGCCCATCATATGGCCAAAGGTCGCCGATCCCCAGGTATCAATATCGCCGTTCTTGAACAGGCCGATTTCCTCGCGCAGCGACGTGTACAGGTTCTTGACGTCGACCTTGCCGTCCTCGGTGTTGTGGATGGCCATGTCGTACAGACCAAAGAACACCTGACGGAGGTTGAATAGGCCAGCACTCTCGTTCTTGGCAGCCACCAGGCGCTTGACCAGCTCGTCGGGGATAGGCTCGCCGGTCTTGTAATGCACGGCAAACTGGGCCAGAACCGACGGCTCCCAGCACCAGTTCTCGAGCATCTGCGAGGGAGCCTCACGAAGTCAGTCTCGGTGCTGGTGCCGTGGAACCGGGCCCACTTTGTGATCGAGCAGATGCCGTGGAAGACGTGGCCCAGCTCGTGCAGCAGCGTCGTCGCGTCATCGTGCTTGAGCAGCGCCGGCGTCGTGCCGACGGCTTGGGGAAGTTGGCCACCATGGCAGCAACAGGATACTCGCGCGAGCCGTCGGGCTTGGTGTAGCCGGCGCGGATCGGCCACACAGCGCGTGGTTGTACTTGCCCTCGCGCGGGTACAGGTCCAGGTAGAAGTGGCCGACGAACTTGTCCTCGGTGGCTTCCCACACCTCGTACATGTCGACGTCCTCGTGCCACACGGCGGGTTCTCGACCTTGACGAACCGCAGGCTGAGCATGCGCTGGTAGATGTCCAGGATGCCGCGGGTAACCTCCTTCATGGGGAAGTACTGCTTGACCTCCTCGTCGCTGATGTTGTGCTTGCGCTCCTTGACCAGGTTGGTGTAGTAGCGGAAGTCCCACGAGAACAGGCCCGTGTACTCCTCGCCAACCGCCCTCTTGTCAGCGCGCTTCAGCTCCTCAATCTCTTCGACCTCCTTCAGTCCCAGCACCGTCAGGCGCTCGCGCAGGTCGTGTTCAAAGTCAAGCACCTCCTTGGGCGTCTTGGCCATGTGCTCCTCGAGCACGTACTCGGCGTGGGTGCTGTAGCCGAGCATCCTGGCCG